AACATTTATTATTTTTAACTTCCAAGTTAAAATCTAAATCAATCCGTTTCTGTGGTTAGTTTCAAGATAAACAATGTCGATATTAACGTGTACATTTAGTAAATAATGAACTAAATTTGTGCGTGAGTCGAGTTTAAATTGTTTTAAGTTAAATTTAATCCCATTGTTTGATGCATATTACCTAGATACAATTTTTTATTAAAACTTGATATTTTATGAATAAAATATTAGGTGTTGGAATTAATTCGTAGCGTTTTACAAGTGATGGGAAGTACTTTCATTAATGTATTTTTTAATGCTCATGTGAAATAAATAACATTCTTTCATTAAAAAACGCTACGAATTAATTCCAACACCTAATAATAAAGTGAACAGCGATAGTTGAGAAAATCTTACGTAATCTTTCTACAAAACTTAGAATAATGACAGACTTATTGTTTTTATGATTTTTTTAACTTTTTATAGGAGAGTTTGCCAACTTAAGAGATAAATTTATGTAGAAATATTTTCAACGATTCTCAAGTAGATTTCTATATCTTATTAGATGTAAAAAAAAATAAGTCTCTGTGCAAGTCATATAAAATTTTAATTTTGCCAGTTATTCTATAGATTATGCCTCACGAGTAAATAAATTTTTTAATTGGAAAGACCCTTTGCGTCCTTTGCTGACAAATTATATTTTATGCTCTCGAGTTTCGATCCATCCACGTGTCACGCGAAATATAACGAATGGGACGTCCACGTGCGCGAATAAATCGCAATCGAAAAAGCTCTCGCACCCCTGGGAACAGGCAGCACAAATTGCCTCCTGGCATACTCGTTTCATCTGGTGCATGCGAATGCACCGCTGCACCGTATTAGATTGCCACCTACTGGTGTAACAACGAAGCGGCACACGCGTTGAATCCGCATTTACATCGGAGTCCGCCTTTCGTCTCACAAGAATGCACCGCTGAGTTGGCCGTTCCTCGATTTCCCGACTGGATTCTATTTTATCTTGTCACCTAGGTATTGATATATAAAGTATAGACGTATAAATAACGGCATAAGAGAGAGTAAAAGGAAACGCAGTTATACCGCTCCAATTAAAATACTTTCTATATTCTGTACCAAACATTTATGAATAAATTTGATATATCAAAAGGTTTATGAATAAATTTGATATTTAAACGCCGATCTCCGTTCTCATCCGCGATCGCTTTTTACCGCGTCGCGGATTACGCCGACTTCATAAATCATCGCACGGCAGGGCCGCACAACGAGCTAATTAAACGAGCATCTTTATTAATCGACCGGATCGCTGCGCTTCGCGGTCTCTCGCTTATTTCTATTTCCGCGTTATTTATAGCATTTCTATCTTTATAATTCCACAATTCTTGCCTAAGTCGTATTTACGTCGGCGGAACCCCCCGTCGGCTAGGCTCTGTGGCAAACAAATGAAAAAGAAGCGCCATGTAAACCGATTAATCGAGCAGGCCGAGGAAAGCCGTTTTGTCCACGCACAGCCTTGAAACGAGCCTTTACGATAAAGTCGCTGTGGGACGAACGAGCCTAATAAAATTCATCGAGTCTCGTGACGGTGCAACTTTACGCGGCCCGGTCGGTGCATCGCGTTGCACCGCGTGAATAACGTTAATTTGCGGCTTCTGCGCTGCACCTTCGACCGGTTTAGCAACTAAATCGCGGGATGTGCGAGCGCGTTATTTGCCACGAAAGTGTGCCGACGATCTCGCGTGTCTGTATAGATTTTGTCTGCCGAGAGACAACTTTTCGCGCTCCCTCACGATACGTCGACCGGCGAATTCTCTGCTCGGAATGTTTCGCGTTTAATAAACTGTTAAAGAAACGATGAAAGCTCTCTTCTCTCTTGTGAAAGTTGAATCATCGTGAAAATGAAACGAAGTACGTTCCAATATTTCTAAGCGATTTTTCCTCATTTTACTCGTAAAGTTCGTTCGAACGGAAATCGTTCTCGAAATCGGATTGGATACTTGAAAAATATTCTTACAGAGCAATAAACGTCTCTTTAGCCTTTATTTCTTTTCTGTAAATCATTCAGTTGAAATCTAATATTAACTTGATATTACAAAGTGATCTTAATATAACGATATTAGTCGCAATAACACAAACGATGATTTGTCTATATTTTTTTCTTCCTTATATATTAACTGACGTCAAAGTTTATTTTTTGTTTATTCTTTTTTCCACATTAACCTTTACAAGACGTACGCTGAAATATATCGTATTTTTAGACAAGGAATACAATGAAAAATAATGATTTATAACAAATCTTGATCAAGGAAAAGCTGTATGATTTTAAAAATAGACATCCGCCCTCTAAAAGTTAAAATTTTCATAAATATTATTTCAATAATTAAGCCTTTATGTCAATAAAAATATACATGAATTAATTACTTATGTTAGTGACAGAGACTTTAATCGAATCAATAGCATTTTTTTCTCAGTGTATCGATCTCATTTTCATTTTATATTAAGCCGTGTATACACTTAGCAAACGAATACCGAACAAAAGTTTGTATATTTGTTACATATAAGTCATACAAATTTAATTGCTATGTGCAACAATCCAATCTGATTGAATGCTAGTATTCGGTGCAATCAAGAAAAAGAATAAACTTATAAACACAAATACGAATGTTCGAACATTCACGTTCGGTGTTTGTTCGCTAGGTGTATACGCGGCTTTAACAAGTCGAGACCGCTCATTATTTCAGAGAATCGATTGAGCTGTATCATTTACTTTATCCGCTGTTACGTACATTCTTGTCCTCCTCTTTTTGTTTTCCTGCACGTTTTCTTGTGATCCTAACGGAGAATGACTGCACCTATGGTTGGTAATAAGGAAACGAACAGCTCAGCAACATCCAAGCCGACAAATTCGCGAAATTTACGAAACGTCGAAATAACGGCACGTAGATGAGCCGTGTAGAGTAATTTATATACACAGCGAGAAGAAGAATGCGAGCTAAGGCGGAATTAACAAGGGAAGGAAGCCGGCAGATGCACAGTGCGAAAATAGTTTAGCTTACTATTTATGCAAATGATACGCATCGAGGAAGAGGCCACGAACGGATAACAATAAGATGGATAATTAATTGGCATGTGCTGTACTACAAGGAAGCGAACAGTACAGAGTAAATAATTCCGGCACGACAGTTTTCTCGTCGTTGTTCTTCTCGAATATCGAAATGAGAAAAATTATGGATATTATACCTATAACTTTCTCTTAAAAAATGGAATCTCTTGGATGATTAAAATTCATATTCGCATACTTGGTTTGCAAAAAAATATAATATTATGCTCTAAGGAGTATAAATTACAGCAATGTAAGAACTTGGATCATTGTGTGTTTATAGATTTTATATAAATTTTATTAGATATGTGTTATGTATAAAAGACAATAAAACGTTTCAACTCACAATTTTGGGTTATCTTCAATAAGTCAGAGTGATCTTCTCAATTAACAATTTGGTTAGTAATGTCTGTGATATCTGCCTTATTTATACATATCTTATAAGACGCGTGATTCGAATCGAATCGAAAATGTTTGAATTTTTTAATGCTTGGTTGCTCTGTTTGGCGACCCGCAAGATTGAAATGATTACAAACTCGCATATTGGCGCGATGCAGATGTACCGGTTTATGAGACGCGTAAAAGCCACCGACGTGAGGCCCACCGATGGCGTCTCGCTCGTAAAACATCGCGTACCTTGGTTGCGTGTTGATATTTATCAAATTTTATTGACATACGCTCGTGTCCAACGGCGTTAATTACAAGGCACTTCGGTGTTGTTCATCAATGAGCATCGATAGCGCTAAGATTCACTCCTCATCACCATAAAAGACGCATTGATTGCATTCAGTAAAAAAAAGCAGCCTTGCAACTGTTGTAAAATTCTTTAATATGATTTATATATTTATATCCAGTAAGAGAGAGAAACTAAAGACCGATTATGTTGTATTAAAGAATTTGACAATTGCAAAACTGCTTTTTCTGCCAAACGCAGCCATTAGTTCTGTTATGAAAATGTATCTCATGGTGGAAAATTATTTAATATTTTCATTACATGAGTATATCATATTGTGAATGATTTATTATTTAACAATCCATCATGTTAATATTTAAAGAATATTTTAAATATCGTAGCTTATTTTTCGAACAAATGCATTTAGTTACACAGATTGAATCCATTGATTCAGACAAAAATACTGTACAGCTATGAGATTATCTTACAGAAAATAAATGTAATAAATCTCTGCATCATTGCAGATGGAAATCTTAACGAAAACAAAACAATACATCTTATACATTTATTTTTATAATTCGATACGTTACAACATACGCAACTCATCGCGCTAAATTTATTACACGAATAATACAAAGAAGAAATTGTCTTCGTGATACTACATCGCAAGCTCAAACGTCAGAGAGTAAATAAGTTTATATGTTAATTGATATGTTAAGATAAAAAATAAAGTGTTAATTTTAACATTTTTGCATGTCTCAGAAAGTCCACTATACATCTTTAAATTAAAATAGACATTTTATTTTTAACAGTATTCTTTTAATAAATACAATATATATACAATACACGAACACTGTTACGCAAATTGCGCCATCGCCACGTCGCGTCGGTGTACTGTCACTTTACTTGCTTTTGTAATGCATCGCGGAATGTAACACGAGCTGCTGCGGCTCGAGGTGGTTAACACGTATCTCAAGAATATCCCGCTAAACTATTCGCGGCTTATCATTGTTACCACTTCTGGCGGAAAGATATGCCAGCGATGTGGATCGGTTTCTCCATCACTGCCCGATTTTCGTGGCCTTTCCAGCCGTAACTCGGGCATTTTACAGGCGATTTGGCAAAGCGGCCATTTCTCCATAAAGTCCATTATCTCGATATTTCTCGTGGAATAACCTTTCCATGGATATCGCTCGGCTATGCCTAATATCGTCGTATTTCTTTATGTTTCAGGTAAGCGCAGGTCGATTATAAGAGGGATATAAAGAGGAGCCAGGGGTTAAGGCGGTGGCAAGTAAAACACTAAATCCGCCCCGTAAGTACGCGCCGCATTTTAAGACTCATCCAATCACCATAAAATAGTGTCCAAGGGCGCGAGTTGTTTGAGGGGGGGGGGATGTACAATTTGCATTTTCATGGCGCGACGTACCTCTACGGTTAGTCCACCTTCAAGGTGGACTGCATTTCGAGTCTCCCCGTGATGAAGATCACGAAAAATGTCAGTCGGTTGTGTGCAGGTGCAGCGCGAGCGAACGAGCGAATAGTGAAATGGGTGTCGTTCGCAAGACGCGCATTTATTTGACCGCATGTCCTTTATAGCGCGGAAATTAATTAGAAGCTCACTGCACGAGCAAATTCTGCGATCGGGATCGAGGAATTCGAATATGAAATCGCGGGAGTTATTTTTAGTCCCGCTATGAACGTGTCTCTTCTAATCTGCCATCAATCACGCGTCGGTTAATTAACATTTAAGTGCGCGCAAAAGTCGTCGCGCTCGATTTCAAGAGACGATTAAACCGCAACGATGATCGATTAATCCAATTAATAGGACAGTTGCGAAAATATATCGCGAACAGGATGGTATCATTAAAATTTTAATTGACCGAATTTATTCTTGTACTGTTATTGGAAGTGAAGCAACAAAAATCGGGTAATATTGACTCCGTCATAATTCATTTCTGGAATTCACTATTAAAGTATTGTGTAAGCATCGCGAATAAAATATACATATATACTGTTGTCGCGAAAAGTAAAGTTTTATTATTTCAGAACGAAAAAGATAAAATACCAACACAGGAAAAACAGTTTAAAAAATTTAGCTAGATACTAAAAATAATTTTATTTGTACCATCAGAATAATTATATAGGACGCTTAAACCGGTTACTGCTAGAGTGTTGGAACTTTTTACAGCATTGTCATCAACGCTTAAGCGTCGTATATAATTATTTTGATAATCCAACAAGATTATCTTCTGTATGTATTTAATTTTTTTAATACTTTAACAAAACCGTTGTTTCCATGTAATGCATAGTGATTAAGCAGATAAAATGATAGCAACGAGAACAAATGGATGATTTGATTAAAATAATTATAATATCAATTAATACAATTGTAATATTGTATACGTTACTGCACAGCCGTGTTTTACGTCACGTTCAATAATCACGTGCACGTGGGGTCGCCGAAGACTTAGTCGATCAATCCCGAGATACGATGATAGCGGCGCAAGAATGTACCGTGCGTACCTCGCGCGCCCGTTACGAGGAAGAAATTAATAATTGCACTTAATCCAACGTGATTAATGCTGCATCGCCAGCGTCTACTACTACGGGCTTCCGCGCGAAGTTGTGAGTTATACCGCACGTTTCAAATAACAGGCAAACCCAAATGATTCACGGTGATACCATCTTGGCGACGCAAACGGAAATAACTACGTAGAATAAATAACTACATATTTTCCCTCCTGGAAGGTTAACGTTTAATTCTTTTTCTTATCTGATTAAAATATAAAACATAAATATAAAACATAAACATAAACATAAAATATAAAACATAAATATAGAGTGTGTTAGAAAAAAGTAGATTTGTGGAAAATAGCACGATTGATGTATCTAATTTTACGTATCGCGGGAATAAAATCTAAAATTTTATGTACTGTTTGAAGATAAAATAGGTGTTTTATCGGATTGCGTGATCTCGTTAAGTTTTCGCTCCGATAACACCGGAGGTAATGATCGCAAGGAGCTAAATGCATTCATGTCGCCATACGCACAGTAAAGTGACCTTACGCAAGTAAAGTGTACAATAAAAAGTGTATTCTTACGTTATCTTACGAAGTTGCGTTCGCAAAATTGCGCGTCGGACTCGCAATCGTTCGGCCCCTTTGGCTGGTAAAGCGTCATTCTCTTTCAATTAAACAGCTTGGACGATCGACTAACGCCTGCCGCGAAGATGCAACCGTTCCGATAAAGCTTTTTATAGATCCGCTTCTCTCTGAACGCGAAATTGTCTGCAGGTATATGCGAGGATAACAAGGCCACGCACATTTATAGATTTTTTTATTATGACAGGCCTTCATTAATAAAACAGAAAAGATACCACTGTCCTCTCCTAATTGAAGTTACATCTAATCTAAAAAAATTGTGTTTCTGTTTGGTTATTTTACGCTGTCCGTTAGTTAGCTAAAGAAGTATAATTAACTAACAAGATACTATTTTTTACTTTTTTATGAAAAATAAATACTTGCGTAGCCTTAATTTTAGAGCAACTGCTTCAATTAATAGAATAGAATTAGTAAAAAAAATTCAAATATAATTTTTTTGTTCAATGAAGAAACATAATCTTTACGAAATATCTAGTTAAATATACATCAGTTGCAACTTAGAGGATACATGTTTAATTTGGAGAGTCTTGTTTATCTATACAGAATCGCGCAGAAATAGAAAACCTACTATTACAATGATCCATTAATCCTTAAAATTACGTCTCGGCAAGTACGAAAAAGCATCCTAATTGTGCAGTACGAGACGAGTTATAGCGCGTTGAAACCGGGCACGAACCCCGCCAATTGAGGCGGCTAGGCGCGAGAGTGCGTCGGGCACGAGATGAATAATTGTACTAGCATACTTAAGATTACAGATAAAGATATCTCTCAGAGCTTGCCGTCGGTGGTGCATTTCGTAGCAGCCGTACGGATCATCCTACGGAATTGATGGGCTGCTATCAACGCCGACTTTATGGCTGGAAATCGCGGCGTCTCGTGCGATGCTTACAAAGTACACGGGCGAAAGTATACAAGCCGTACAGACTGTTTCAAATCTGCGTTTTTCACGTCGTGCGAATCGAATAATATTTAATTAAATTAAAAGCAAAATTCATATCCAAGACGAATATTTGTTAGACGCATATTTATTGTGTAGAATATAATTTATTAGATAATGCAATTAGTCGATCATGTATACTTTATTATTTCTCGCAGGGATAGAAGAGTTACGATTGTACTGAAAGGAATATTCATGATACGTCATGAAGAGAAATCTATATTACGAGCTATTACTATTATTATTTTATTAACATGCCCGACAAAGTAATTGCGGCAGAGTATACTTCTTACTCGGTGAAGAGTTATCTTTATCTATAATAATGCGCACACATTTGTACAATTATTCAACCAGCGTTTCTTGCGCTCCGACTCTCTCCTAATTCGTCTTCATCGTGTTTTCTTCTCTTGCTTTTTATATACATACTTCGTATGCGAGATCACCGTCTCGGGGCTTACAGAAAGGATATGTAATCATAATTAGTGATGTTATTAGTGAGTCATATACACACACACACACATACATATATGGGCTTGTTTTATTGGTTCGTTTTATCAGGGCTTGTATGGCGAGGGTTAACTGCCAAGGATAACTGGCTGGTGGATCCTACATCATTGCATGGCTGCATGAAGTATTCCGTCAGAGTCAATTAGAAACGTTCGCGAATCGAATCTTATCGAATGGACTGAAACGTCATGGCTTATAGAACTCGAAATAGAAAATGAAATTGATAATTCAATTTTGATAATGAATAGTAAAACCGTGTTAAAATCAATTTTCAAAGCGATCGTAGTATAAGGATTGTAACGCTGTTCTTTTAATGATAGAAATTAAAGTTCTTAATTAGCAGCAAGAACCGTTGATTTCGCTTTTATCTCGAACCATCGCGTCTTAATAAATTAAATAATGAAAGCACACAAAACACACACACACACACACACACACACACACGCACACAAAACGTGGTTTTTGTTATTTCAAAATATTAGAAAGTTCAATTTCAGAGCAATTAGAATTTTGCCTTTTTACCTACGTAAATCAAATACTCTCTATAGTATTGCAGGAAAAAAGTAAATTGCACAACGTATATTTAGATTTTTAATCATTTTATTAGTCTACAAAAGTATTATATATCTAATTATAGTTGTTTTTCTATACGTACGCGAAATCGATACATTAACGACTGTCGATTTGGCAAATCAGATTTTTAAAATAAAATGTAAAACACGATTTGTAATTTAAAACATGACAGAAATCATATTTGAAAGTACTGGTGACGGGTGACGTTTTAATAAAAAATACATTAAATTGTAATACGTAAAAAGTTAATCCTTGATGACTTTCGAGCTCACGGGATGGAGCTCGGTTGATCAAATCAATCAATCGATCGATCGATCGATCGGCCGATCGCCAGGGAACACGCGTTGTCGAAATGTTTGCCATTCGTTGAGCACTTAAAGCACCAACATTGCCGTGCACGATGCGTGCACGCAACCACTGCACATAAAATCATTATTATGGTGGCAATAAACCGTAAACGGACGCGCGGTTGTATTTCCACTCGCGCAGGTCGAGCTGCAAGAGCGCCCGCAGACGTGCGTTCTCCAAAGGGGAATTCCTCCCTTTATTTCTTCAGCCTGCTCGCCGGTGTGTGTTCACCGATGGAGGCGCATCCAGGATGACGTGAAGGACGAAGGAGGACGAGAAGGAGAACGCTCCGCACGCGCGCAACCGCGTTATACCGCGCCATTAGTGCCTGTCCACGAGCTTTATGGTGCTGCTCCGACTTGCGTAGGGTTGTCTTCCGGTGGCGAGATTCCAAGCGCGTCATAGAGCTCGCTTTTTAAAGAAAGAATACGTTCCTAAGAGACTTAGGAAGAAGGACTAGGTAGGAAAGACTCTTACGTAGGAAAAATAGGTTACTCTACTTATGCAGTCTGTATAAGTTTTTATCTTTGACGTCGAATCTCAGACTAGATTTTCATTAAGTAACTGCAATTAAATCTTAAAGCAAAGGTAATGCTATGTACATTTATATACGCATGTATGTTTTATTTCTTTTTTAAACAGAAATTTAATAAGAGAGGAAGAAAAAGGAAGGAGAGGAAGAGTCATTTTATGTGGAGAGAAACGACTAGTTAGAATATTATTTTGTTTTTAGTTTCATGTTAAATTTTCTGTAACAGCAATCCGTCTTGTTGCTA